TCAAAATTTTTATATAATTTTTTAATTATCACATAATCATCATTAAACAAATTTTATACAAATTTTAATCTAATTATCACATATATCAGTTTCAATCCTAATTTAAAATTCACAATTCTAAATTCAAAACCACAAACTATATCTAAAATCTAAAACAAAATTATAAACCATAACAAAAACACCAAAATCAATTAACAAAATACCAAAATCAATTAATAAAATACCAAAATATTAACTCTCAAAATCCAAACCCACAAATAACGGGGGTTGGAGAATGGAAAGGCATAAAGAAAAGAGGACGCTGGCGGCTGAAAAATGACGAGTTCGGCCGGAAAAGTAGGAGGCGAGAGGGAGATGAAAACTCCGTATTTTTTGACTTTTTTTCTCTGCAAATGAAAGATTTGAGGAAAGATCGATAATACTAAGCTATTTTCAGTGTTTTTGGACAGTTTTTAGAGGTTTTGAACGGAGAGAACGAGAGAAAACTGAGAGCCTCAGTGGAAAAAATGGCGGAAGGAGTTCTGCGATCGTGGTTATACAGGTCATTTTTTGCGACGACATAATGTCATCGCAAAAAACATTAAATAGTCGTCACAATTCATGTTAAAATGACGACATTCTTCTTCACCTCATTAATATTTTAGACAATATTCTTGAGGAATATACCTTGATTCTTTTTTTGCAACGACAATTTAACAATGTCGTCGTAAATAATTTTGAGCAAAATCTTTCCACTATGTACCATCAACTGGATGACGCATTAAGTCTTCATCCCTCGAACGCCCCTGCACGTGCCACGTCATTTCCTTAGCAGTGTGACGGGAAGCATATAGACGCTTCAACCGATCATTCAAAGGGAAATATCAGAGTACTTTCCACGGAACTTTTTTTCCTTTTTTGCTCTTTCAACGACTTGTACTACATACTGGACAAGACTGCAAAGCAGCATTTTGCTTCCAAAACAAAGCGCAGTCATACTTACACACATGAATTGCCTCACAGCTCAGTCTCAGTTTACTCAATAACTTCTTCGCCACGTAATGTGATGTTGGTAACTTGTTCCCTTTTGGAAGTGCATCTCTCAGTAGCTTCAACATTTCATCCATGCATTCATTAGGCCACTTGTACAACACTTTTAGATGCATTAGTTTCACTAAAAAATTCTACAATGAATACTTAGTGCAACCCGGATACAATCCGACTTGTAGCTCAGATAAGAGATATCTAAATTCATCGTAGTGTGTATCTTCTATAACTGTTTCTGTCTCACCCATTGTCTCATGATCATCACTAATTCCAGTCACATCATTTAGCACTGCAAACATCTCACCAACAGATTCACTAAAAACTGCAGCAGCAGGACGTACTTCACCATGGTGAATCCATGTGGTGTAACTTGTATCAAAAGCCCATCGATGTATGTGCGCTTTCACTGTTTCGGGTGGATGCATCTCATGACTTCTACACTTCATACATGGACAACTAATACCCCCGAGTGAATTTGCATAATTCTTTCCAACCTCAATAAAAGCACACAAACCATCCCAGTACTCATCATACAACTGGTTCCTTAAATGTATCCAACTCTTGTCCATAGGCATCTCCACTACGAAGAATTTATAAAGTTTTATCAAATTTTATGAAAATTAACACAAATTATTTTATAATAAGTATTTAACATTAGTTTATTTAATTTTTTATATAATTAATCAAAATTTTTATATAATTTTTTAATTATCACATAATCATCATTAAACAAATTTTATACAAATTTTAATCTAATTATCACATATATCAGTTTCAATCCTAATTTAAAATTCACAATTCTAAATTCAAAACCACAAACTATATCTAAAATCTAAAACAAAATTATAAACCATAACAAAAACACCAAAATCAATTAACAAAATACCAAAATCAATTAATAAAATACCAAACTATTAACTCACAAAATCCAAACCCAAAAAGAACGGAGGTTGGAGAACGGAAAGGCAGCAAGAAAAGAGGACGCTGGCGGCCGGAAATGACGAGTTCGGCCGGAAAAGTAGGAGGTGAGAGGGAGATGAAAACTCCACATTTTTTGACTTTTTTTCTCTGCAAATGAAAGATTTGAGGAGATATCGATAATACTAAGCTATTTTTAGTGTTTTTGGACGGTTTTTGGAGGTTTTGAACGGAGAAAATGAGAGAAAATTGAGAGCCTCAGCGGAAAAAATGGCGGAAAGAGTTCTGCGGTCGGGGTTATACAGGTTTTTTTTTTTGCGACGACATAATGTTGTCCTAAAAAACATTAAATAGTCATCGCAATTCATGTTAAAATGACGACGTTGTTCTTCACCTCATTAATATTTCAGAGAATATTCTTGAGGAATATATCCTGGTTCCTTTTTTGCAATGACAATTTAACAGTGTCGTCACAAATAATTTTGAGGAAACAGCCAATGTTTCCTCCCTTTTTTTTAGGAAAAATTAAATCCCCAGTCTTTGCAACAACATGTGTCATCGTAAAAAACAGTCGTCCTTGATAGATTTTCCTGGAACCTTTTTTCTGACGACACGTGTCATCGCAAAAAAGTCGTTCTGAAAATAATTTTATGGAACCATTTTTTGCAACGACGTTTTGCATAGTCATCGCAAAAAATAAACAAAATATCTGGAACTTATTAGAGAGAAACTGCCAAATTTCCCACCCCTTTTGGCCACATCACCACCAGCTATAACCATTACTATTTGCGATGACATGTCCTTGCAAAAAATGTACAAACTGGCACCAAATTTGTTGGCGCTAGATTGGTTTTGGTGCCAATGGGCATTAGCGACGACATGTCGTCACGGATATTCCATTCTATTTTAGCGACGACATGTCGTCGCAATTATATAAATTTTGTGCAACGACATGTCATCGCAAATAATGAATGCGACGAAAAGTCGTTCAAAAATTTTGTTTTTTTTAAGCGACGACATGTCGTTGTTAATACTGTAATTTTAGCAACAACAAATGTCGTCGTTAATAATGTTGTTGCTAATAACCCTTTTTTTTGTAGTGAAACTAGATTATAAGAAAAAGATTTACTTTAAGAATAAGAATGAGAAAATATAGACATAAGTATTGACGTTACTAACCATTCACATTCAGAACGACGTTATAATTTTATAAGAAGTTTGTGAAAGAGAAAAGAAATTGGAAAAAATGGTATTTAATAATTATAACTAATAGTGTTAAGTATTTTTATTAGTTGACAATTTATTGGCAATCTTGTAAAAATTTAAAAAGCAGGTTCAAGAAGAATTCATATTGCAAAAGAAAATTTAGAATCAGATTTAGATTACACAAAGATATTGGTTGAGATTTGGAGAGATAAGGATAAAGACTTGGTCAAATGAAGATAAGATTTGATGAAGAATTTGAATTGAAGATTTTGTGTTTGTTGATCGAGATAATGCCAAATCAATTTAAAGAAAACGTGTTTGAGTGAAAGTCTGCAAATAGACATATATATATATATTTGTGCGTGGATGGAAGCTTTAGACGTGAAGAGCTGTATGCAGGTTATGGGTTTTGTTTTTGGAAGTTAAATTGGGCTTGGTCCTAATGTGGGCTTGGTTCTAAGGTGGGCTTGGCTTAAGTTGTGAAGGGCAATTTGGATTTGAAAAGGATTTAGAACGTTCTTGTTGATATAATATTGATTTAAATTTCAAGAATGCCGTGGGTTGATTTAAACGAAAAGATCAGGTTGTTTTCATCTAGCAAAGTTTTCAGACTTGAAGATGGTGCATAATCCAAATTCTAATTTGAAGGTTTGAAACAAGATCAAATCGTAGTGAGATTGCTGGAGAAAAAATTGTGGAGGGAATTTTTGAATGAGATTTTTCAGAAGGAGATTTGGATTGTGCCAACGTGAAAAAATTGCTAGCTATGTATAAAAAGACATGAAGTCTGCTCATTAAAAGTAGAGAAGAGTATGGGTTTAATAGAATATTTTTAGAAAAGAGTGTGTGAGTTTTTGTGGGCCTTGTGCGTTATTGAGATCGTCCTTCGGGAGAGGGATTTGTTGCTTTCGGGAGGAAGCTATGTCGGTCGAAGGGAGTTCGCCGTGCAATTTAGAAGACATGTGGTGTACGCTAAACAGAGTAATTTTGTGATTTCATCACAGCGGCGTCATAGTCTAGGAGGGAGTCCTTGTGTGAATAAGTCCGTCAGTGTTGTAATTCTTGAAGTATAGTGAAACTGTTTACTATCTGGGTGTGGCCCCGTATAGTGGGTGTGGGTGCGAACGGCGATAACATATCGTGTCCATTTATTTTTACTTTCTGCAATACTGTCTTTCCTTGGTAATTAATTTGAATAGTAAGAAAGGTAGTAGTATTCCAGATAGTATTACAACATCATCTGAGACATCAGATGTAACATCATATCTAATAAATAGGATTCAATTATCTCATATATACACTAGAATATTATAAGATTACACTTCATTACTTTACAATTTTAACTCGTACTTTCTAACAATTATTCACAAGAAGCGTTGTTCGATTTTTCTTTAAGATAAGCTTTAAAACAAACCAAACAATGTAATACAAATAGATGGAATATAATAAAAGGAGATAAAAGAAATAGAGAGATCATAAGTAGAGTTTCTTTAGGAATTGGAGTAAATTAAGATATATTTTAATTAATATTTATCTGTTTTGATTTATTTTAATTTGATTATAATTAAGATTTAGATTTGGTTTACAATTATAATTAGAACAGCTTTAGAATTTATCTATCTATAAATAGACCTCTCAATATTCATTATTTTCATACTAAATTACTCTGCCATCGCTCTCCTCCTCTACGTACACGCACAGAAAAGGAAAAAAAGAAGAAAAAAGAGAAAAAAATCGTAATCAATATTAGCAAGCAAACATGAAGAAGAATTCAATCTTCCTCCTCTTCTGCTTGACATTTAGTGCTTTCACAGTCGGACAGGCTTCCGCCAAGCCGCCGTCTAGGAGATTACTCTTTTTTGATTTTCCAATATTCCCAAAGCCGATTGAGCAGCCGCCAGAACCACCGATGCCGCCGCGGGCTCCGGCTGCCCTCTTGGATTGCCCTGCCGGGCGTAACGCATTGCAATGCCTGCCCCAATATGCCGGCCACTCCGGAACTGATCGCACTCCGATCAACTCCACTTGCTGTGCCATTCTCTACAACGCCACCGCCGAGTGCGCAGGTGACAGATGGCCCGATTTCATTCCTCCAGCGCTGGCCTATTGTCAACGGGAACATCCCGAGCAGGACCCGTCTGCGCCTCAGTTATCCCCGCTACCGCCATCGCCATCACAACCATCGACGCCGCCGCAGGCTTCGAGTGCCCTTTCGGATTGCCGACACACATATTTGTATTGCATGGCCCAATTTGCACACCACGAAATTGATCACAGTCCGATCAACTCCACTTGCTGTGACTTCCTGATCCACAACGCCACAGAAGAGTGCGCCGGTTCCCACGTGCATGATCTTTGGCCTCAATCCATAGCCTACTGCCAGCCTCCCGAGCAAAACTCGTCACCGCGTCAGGCACCGTTGCTGCCACCACCGCCACCACCATCTCTGCCGACTCCAGAGGAATCAGCACAAAAGTGTTTGTCTTTCATTAACACCATGCAGTCTTGCATTAACGAAATCATGTCCGGATTCTTCAACAAGAGATTGGGAATGGGGCCGGGTTGCTGCACCGCCATGTCTAGTTGGGGTGAGGATTGCTTCACCGAATTGTCCCGACAGTTTCCGGATCTTTTCTACCCTTCTTGGCTCAGACAACAATGCTCTCTCCCTTAATTACTTTATTATTTCGTTTGCCATGGTTTTACACAATTAGGAATTCTTCTAGCTCCATGTTAAATTTATTTATTAATTTTTATATTATTTCCGCTGCATATTCTTATAGGTTTTTATAGATTACATTTTTTTTTCTTTCAGGTATATAGTTTGAGTTTCCTTTTAATTTGAACTGTTAACGTCTATAATTGAATTATTTTTTTATTGAGTTTCTTATATTTGTTGTTCTTGCTTTTTCTATAAGTTGTGGCCCTTTACTGGATGGATTTTAGGTGTGTACATATTCATTCTCTCCATATCTATTCCTATTAGGATTGTCGAAAATAATGGTAAGAAAACTTAAAAACTTTCAAAAACTTTTGAATTTTGATATAGAAATCATAATTCGTCCTTTCAAAATTTTATCAAACTATTTTCAAAAAAAAAAAAAAAAAAAAACTTAAAAAAGGATAAATATATTGAAACAATATTATTGAGTTTAATATTCTTTTTCTTTTTTTTTTTTTTTCTGTTTCCCTTGTATATATTCTTATCACCCGATTTTAAAATTTCCATTTACTTTACTCACAAGCGATAGCCATGAAAAGAGAGAAACATATAGGTTCGAAATTTAAGATGAGTGACAGTTATTACTATATTATCATTCTTAATGACTAATTATAATCACCATGTTTTTTTTTTTTTTACCACTAATACACCGCTTATTGGTCAAATGATTTGATATACTCCTTCTATCGTAATGTTTTCCCTCCCATAACCAACTCCTCTTTGAGTTCGTTACTTGGATGTGTAAAATAAGTGATTATCAGTTAATCCCACACCTATCTCTTCCTATGCATGCCAGATGTCGCTTATAATATAAAGATCCAAACCTTTCACTCATGATGACTCTTTAAAAAAAAAATCTGATTCTTTTAAATTACATACTTTTACTAAGTCTTTGCTCCAATTCACTAATTAATACGTTCTCAATTAAATTTTCCGTAATGCATCATAAAACGGCATTACATACTTCAATTACATGCATGAAGGCTAAACCAGTCGATTTTTTTTAAAGGAATTATTACATCTTAAACTTTATCGGCGATGTGTTGTCTTTCTCTTTGTACGATGTGTTTCATTTTTTCTAAGAAAAATACGAACCATCAATTTTTTACCACATTAGAAGCATATGTTCAGATTATATTTAATACACAAGTTTATATATTTTTTTAGTCAATACTTGATTTGGACTTCAAAAATACCCGATATATCCTTAACTAGGAAAAAATCATAAAAAATGAAAATTGATAGTTTTCTAATTTTCATAAGCACCAAGGAGATGTCTTGTTTTAAAAGTACTTAAAAATTAATTCATTTATTTGGTTGTAATTTTAAGAATTCTCTCGAATAGAACATGAATATTTTTATGTTGACAAACTTACCCTTGTGCTATATATAACACTAATATTTTATCCATCAATATAATATATAAAATGTAATATAATATAATAAAACTATTATTATATAATTATTATATTATATACAATAAATATATTATAATTAATAATCATGTGTAATGAACTATAATAGATAATAATATTAGAATTATAAGATTATATTAATATTTAATTATATTAATTATTATTATATTATTAATATAATAAAAATAATTATATTATACAATAAAATAATAATATTAAAATTATTAGTATAATTATGGTATTATTTGTTAAAATATTACAACTATATTATATTATATCATATTATATATATTATATTGTAATATTATTATATATTATATTATAAGATATAATTATGTTACAATATATTATATATTATTATAGAATATTAAATAAATATATTATAATTTATAACTATATTATAAATTAATTATTATATTATATATAACTATCTTATATTATAATATTTTTTATTATATATTATATTATAAGATATAATTACTATATAATATATTTTAATTATATTATAATATTGAAGGGTAATTGTGGAAAAAAAAAGAACTTAGAATGATCATTTCTCCCATATGAGGAAACAATGATGATTCACTTAAAATGGGTGAATGACAATTCCTTTTGAATAATAATTCTTTTCTTATAAATCCAACCAAACATCAAACTAAAATTACATTTCATTCTATTCCATTCTTTTCCACCCAAACAAACACGCCCATAATGCTTTAACACCGTGTCCCAACATTTTTTCAATATAATTTCACCCTGTTGCAAGCAATTTATTATTGTGAAAATATAGATGATGACTACTAGAGATGAATGTATCAGAAAAAGGGTCGATAAATAAAGGACTAAAGTTAAGCAATATTGTAAATGGTATTTGATGTAATAATCAAGTGGGAATATGCCACCATGCACCCAAATATTAAAGAGGAAGGGTCTCCGAGGAGCCTGACTTGGTCAACGAAGAGTAATATTCTCTCATATATATATATATATATCCTCTTTTTTAATTCATTTTCTCTCTCCAAAGCTATTCTTAGACTTTGCCATGCAAATCAGTAGATCACTCCCTCCCTCACGCACCATTAATCCTCCCTCAAATCAACACAACCCCAACCTTCTCCTCCAAAACACCACCCCCCAAAAAAAATGTTAATCCACAAATTCAAAATAAGCAAATTACCAAATCCAGTTATACGTCTCCAGTACTCTCCGAACAGCGGCTCGTTTCTTTCCGGACCATCTTCTCCTCCCCTTCTCCGGCCCACCAATGGCCGCTGTTCGCCGTCGCCATCATGACCATCATCATCTTCTCTCTTTCTTTCTCATCTTCTCTCTCCTCTTGCCTTTCTCTCTCTCCCTTTCGGAAGCCCACGCTATTTTCAAGCACAAAAACTCCTTCAACCAAACCAATAATGCTCTCTCGTCCTGGGTCCCGGACTCGTCCCCGTGCCTTTCACGTTGGGCCGGAGTCATGTGCTTCGACGGCATCATAACGGGCCTCCACCTCACCAACATGGGCCTCGTCGGTGCCATCGACATCGACGCCCTGGCCCAGATCCGCGGCCTCAGAACCATCAGCCTCATGAACAACAACTTCTCCGGCCCGATGCCGCAGTTCAACAAGCTCGGCGTTCTCAAAGCCCTTCTCCTAACCGGGAACTCCTTCTCCGGCGAAATCCCGGCAGATTTCTTCTCCCATTTGAACTCGTTGAAGAAGGTCTGGCTCAACGAGAACAAATTCACCGGAAACATACCGAAATCCTTGGGTCAGTTGACCCATTTGATAGAGCTCCATTTGGAGAATAACCAGTTTAATGGTCCCATTCCAAATTTCACACAACCAATATCTTCTCTAGATTTTTCCAACAATAAGCTGGAAGGGGAAATCCCGGGGATTCTCGCGAAGTACAATGCGACGGCGTTTTCTGGGAACGACGGCCTCTGCGGTCCGCCGCTGGAGAAGGCTTGCAGCGGCCGCGGCGCTCAGATGGCGTTGTCTGGTAATTCCCTCAACGACGAGAACGCGAACAACACGAAGCTGATTGTCGGCGGCGTTATCGCGACGATGATCGTCGTTTTGCTGTACGCGTTGCTGAGCTCGAAGAACGGGAGGGAGGACGAGTTCAGCCAGCTGGGGAAGGAGCACGTGGGCGAGGTGGTGGAGGTGGACGTGCGGAGCTCGCACAAGCGGGCGGGTAATTATAGTAATTCGGAGCATTCGAATCGGAGATCGGGCGGGGCTGCGTCGGCGTCGGCGTCGTCGTCGTCGTCTCACCACGGGAAGAGCGGGTCGATGACGGACCTGGTGATGGTGAACGAGGAGAAGGGGAGTTTCGGGATGGCGGATTTGATGAAGGCGGCGGCGGAGGTGCTGGGGAACGGGGGGCTGGGGTCGGCGTACAAGGCGGTGATGACAACAGGGCTGTCGGTGGCGGTGAAGAGGATGAGAGAGATGAATAGGATGGGGAGGGACGGATTTGACGCCGAGATGAGGAGGTTTGGGAGGTTGAGGCATAAGAATATCTTGACGCCTTTGGCTTACCATTACCGGAGGGAGGAGAAACTGCTTGTATCCGAGTATATTTCTAAAGGCAGCTTGTTGTACGTTTTGCATGGTACGTACTATGCAATTTAATAGCTTCTGCATTTATTCTTGAAAGTTATATTTAATGCATGGCAATGCCAATATATTATATGATTTTGTTATATATGATACTGCATGAACTATACATTTGTATGTTTCAAAGAATAAATCACTTTCGAAAAAAAAAAACGTATTCCTTTCAGTTTATAGAAGGGAAAATGTTTATCTGATCGTGATCCCTTTTTTTTTTAGAAAAATGAAAATTTCCGTCTGGACTAGGGAAAAAAATTTAAACTAATCGTTCCTAACGTATGATAAAATATATGCTAATTGTCATTTACATAATAATACAATAGAAAATGAAAATTATCTTATTTTCATACACTTGAGAGTACTCTACTTTTGAAAAGAAAAGTAAAAGTATATTACTCCAGTCTATTCTTCAATTTGAAATAGGAAAAACGTGTAACGCCCACTCTTGTAAAATCATATGTCAATGGTACAATAACATTAATTCATTAGAGTAAAAATGTCGAAATAAAACATATTAATTTCCTTTGTTATCCCACTAGTTTCAAGATTTCAAGTTTAGTCAATGTGGCAAATTTTGATAAGTAAGACAACAAAGTAAGGAAAGCTCTTGGAACAACAAACTTCAACTCATATATCCTCTCGCCACAAATATTTTCTACAGGCGATCGCGGAAGTAGTCACGCGGAGCTGAACTGGCCAACCCGTCTGAAGATAATCCAAGGAATCGCCCGGGGTCTTGGTTTCCTCTACTCGGAATTCTCCTCCTACGACCTCCCCCACGGCAACCTCAAGTCCAGCAACGTCCTCCTGACCGACGACCACGACCCGATCCTCAGCGACTACGCCTTCCAGCCCCTCATGAACCCCGCCAACGCCGTCCAAGCCATGTTCGCCTTCAAGACCCCCGACTTCCTCCAGTACCAGCGCGTCTCCAACAAGACCGACGTGTACTGCCTCGGCATCATCATCCTCGAGATCCTCACCGGCAAGTTCCCCTCCCAATACCTGACCAACGGCAAGGGCGGCATCGACGCCGTCCAGTGGGTCATGTCGGCCCACGGCGACGTCGACCAAGAGATGGAGCTCCTCGACCCGGAGATCGCCGCGAGCACGGTGGCGGTTAACCATATGTTGCAGCTCCTCCACGTCGGGGCCGCCTGCGTTGAGAGTAATCCGCAGCAGCGGATTGACATGAGGGAGGCCATTAGAAGGATAGATGAAGTGCAAGTTTGATCATGAAAATGATTATTTATCAGCTATATATACACACACACACACACACACACACACATGTCATGTGTATGTATTATGTATATATAGTTTGGCTAACTAATTAATTTGCAGGTGATCAGGGAAAGAAGTAAGTACTTAGGTCTGAAATATTTGAATTATATATAAGCATCTGGATCACATATTGGTCAAAGGGCGATCTAAGAGATCCGAGAGCTTTTATATTATTATATCTTTAAAAGGCCAATGCTTGGATTTTTTCTTGTCGTTTGGGGGACTCAATTTGAGCATGTGTTTTGTTTGTGAAGATGAATTAGTGATTAGGAAAACGTTTACACAAAAACTTGAAATGGTTGGTCAAGAAGGCAAGGTAGGTTTGAACAATAAGGACTATATACTGCTGTTTCAGTTACTCATGTATCATTCATTAATTTGTTCTTCATAGGTTAGTAGAATCTATGGGCTACAGTTTTCTCTTTTTAATTAGTATTTCTGTAAATTTCATGTACGTTGCATCAGTTCAATTAATTGTCAGTGAAACAATTTCTCTTGAGAAAATTTTAGTGGCTTTGCATTGTTATTTCGTAGGAAGTAGATTTGCAATATGACTTTTGTACGGTGTAGCTTTGCAAAACTAGAGGCAATTAATTCGTTGACTTTCCTGTGCCTTACAATTTAAGTTCAGGTCGAATTTTAGTGAATTTAGCACAAAACAGATATTCACGTCTGGTACATGAGAATTTCGGCCTAAAATTTGATGGAGGTTATCAATTTGACTATTTGAAATGGATGGTTATAAAGAAATGCAAGATTGTTTACATTTTCAACCACAATTTCTGTTTCTGCCGATAATACTGCATTCATATAGGTTTATAGAACTATATGGAACGTAAAATTTTCTTGTAGCATTGTAATAAGCCAATTTATTGGGGAAACTATTCTCATATTATGTATAAATTTTTCTGTCCTTCAAATTAAAACATATTTGTTGTCAAAAGTTTAACCTACATTTAGTTTATTTGCACGTACGTAATCAACCATGCGAAGAAAACGACATGTAGATTTAAGTTGTTGTTTACTAATTTGTTACAAAGATTTTTCGGAGATTTTATTTTAAACGACAAGCAAATGATATGTCTTTCCTCCTGTGTTGTTTGTGTTTGTTCAAGTATGAGAACGCATGTGGATTACATTAGAATAAATAAATTAATCTGTTGTTTCTTGAAAAAAAAAAAAAAAAAAAATTTGTAGACAGACGTTTAAATTTTTCTATTCCTTATGGTAGGAGAAAGTACTACCTGCAAATGATATGTCGTTTGTCCATAAGTTCGTTGTCTCTTTTCGAGAAAGGAAGAAAAAGTTTTCTGTCGTTAAGTATTGAGAACGACATGCCGTTAGAGTAAAATTTTTGCCATCAGTTATTGTAAAACCAGACTTAATTCGTTTTAAAATAATTTTATTTTTTATATAAAAATAAAAATAAAAATATTTTTAATTTCATACATAAATTATTTTTAAAAATACTTTTAGTAGTTTTATTAAAAGATTATTTTCAGTATAAAAAAATTCATTATTGTCTCTCTCTTTCTGCTCTTAAGAGGAGAAAATGAAAAACGATTAAAAGTCATTTTTCATTTCTCTCTTATTTTATACTAAATCAAAAAATCATTTTTATTTTTATTTTTTATCTTTATTACACCAAACGTCATTTTGAAAATATTTTTATTTTTTTCTCAAAAAACATAAAAAACAAAAATATAATCAATTCTAAACACGGTCGTAGTTTCACGTTTATTTATTTGATCCGTTATGTTAAATTTAGTTTTTAAAAACATAATTAAATTCTATAACATCAGTGAATTGATTGGTAATATTTTACTATCTTGATTCTTGACTCAAAATTCTCTGTACTTTTTAAGATTGAGGCAGAAAAAATAGCGAAAAAGGACAAAAAGAAAGAAAAATGTTTGAAGAATGTTTCCGTGGCTATTCCTTACAATACGTGGATTCGAAAAACGACACTACGTCGATCTGAAAAATAAAATAAAATAAAAATAAAAATAAAAAGAAACGCTGTTCAGATCTTCAAAACCAGGCAACGTGGAGATTTCTGTTCAGGTGATTCTCTCTCTCTCACTCTCTAAAAGCAGTGACGTCCCGAAATGTACCGGACGGCGGTGAAGCGGCTGCTCCTCGGCGTCTCAGCCGGTGGCAATCGTAGCTCCCGTATTCGATATCCTCCATTTCAAAGCTTCTCCTCTTCCGTGGACTCTCAATCATTCACCAACCAAACCCCTAATCAACACCCTCAAAACCCTAACTCGTCAGCCTCCGATTCGCCGTCTTCGTCGTCGTCGTCGTCTTATTCAGCTTGGTCGGCTTCATCGACGACGGAAGAAGCACGGCACAACCTCGGACAGAGGCCGAGACCGGAGTACGAAGACGAGCAAGCTCGCGTGCTTCGCGCCTCGCTTTTTCATGTGGTCCGTACATTTTCCCCAATTTTATTTCAACGCGAATTTTATTAGAATTTGATTTTGAAATTGTGACGTTTGGAATGATTCGGTGCAGCTAAAATTGGGATGGACTGAAGCTGCGATGATCGCCGGTGCGAGAGACGCTGGTGTCTCACCGGCTATAGTAGGGTCATTTCCAAGGAAAGAAGGGGCTCTTGTTGAGGTATATTTATATATGTTTCTTCCATATATAGTTCTGGTGTTTATCAGTAGATTAGTTCCATTTTATATATATTTCGGTTATGTTGATGTATTGTTTGTCCGCTGATGGTGATATTATAAGTTAAAACAGTAATTTTTTGTTAACTAGTTTAGTTTTCTTCACTTTATTTTCACTTTGCGTATTACTTTGATACAGAGTTTTGTTGATTTCTGTAGTTCATATCTTGAAGAGTTTATGTTCGCGTTTTTTTTCCGGTTATCTTCGTATTTTGTTCAGCCACTGCTGGTAAAAATAGGAGCAGTGATTTTACCGTTTTTCTGAAATAATTAGGCTTAAAGTTTAAAAATATTTTGCACTTAACGAAGGTGAACCATATCAAATGTTGGATGTCATCAGAGTTTTGTTTGGCTGCTATTATGTGAAGACAGTTTCATTTATTTTTCTGATCGCCTGTTGCGACTTTAAAGCATATTTCAAGATAAACTAAACTATAAAATGCTTGGGAAATACGAATTAAGATTGAGATTGGCTAATATCATTTAGATTCGAAAAATGTTGGGGATGCCAACTCTTATCCCAACTTTATGTACCGACATTGAGTTGTCATTCTTCCATTGGTAGTTGTTTTAAAGGTTTCCGTATTAATTGGCTGGAGCGTATGCCAGGTGACTTATAAAAGGATAGGTTGCCATATTATTTAATAATAAAAGATTACATTTTCCAATGAAAATGTGATAACTTGAAGTTGGTACAAAATGTTAAGATTAGAATTGGTGTCCTTAGCAATACTCTTTAGTTAATGTTTTGAAGCTCATAGGATTAGTGTTTGGTATATGGAGGTATTTATGAGAAGTTCTTCAAAGTGCACTTCTTTGACTAATGTTTTGCTTTATGCATTTCATTGTTGCAGTCTTTCTGTAGAGCAGACCAGATGTTTTCTCTACACACTAATCTTGACCTGTTTTACTGTTATTTCCCTCACAGTTTTTCATGGATGAGTGCTTACAAAGGCTTGTTGATAGAATCGACTCCGAACAGGACTTGAAAAGTTTAATACCTAGTGAGCGCATTTCCAAGCTTGTTAGAATTCGCTTGGAAATGCAGGCTCCCTACATACCAACATGGCCTCAAGCTCTTAGTATCCAGGTATTGTCCTTTCTTTTCTCCCTTTCATGGCTTGGGATGTGCAGAATAGCTTTTACTAATTTTCTTTTGCAGGCACTTCCAACGAATGTCCCGACGAGTTTTAAGCAGCGAGCAATGCTTGTTGATGAAATCTGGCATGCTGCTGGTGATGAGGGCTCTGATATTGATTGGTATGTGAAGCGTTCTGTCCTTGGAGGAATATACTCAACAACCGAGATCTACATGCTTACTGATAAATCTCCAGGTGTGCAATTTCCATTCTACCTTTTTATTAGAATCGGATTTGTGTTCTGTTCCTTAATTTGTATTGTGCCTATTTAGACACTGGCTTCTTGGCTCCTTGCGTTGTAAGGAACAGAGTGTTTGTACCTGTCCCTATGGAAAATTCTCTCATGTAAAATACTAATATGGCAGCTTGCTGTTTCTGACAGATTTCCGCGATACATGGGCTTTCTTGGATGCTCGCATCAAAGATGCCTTTGATTTGAAGAAAACCATTCAAGAGGTGGCTCTCCCTTTTTCTGTTACTCTTTTGGAACTTAGCTTCTTCACTCTGCTACTTTGTTTTTCAGAATTACGGTTTGTTAGTGCATATAATCTTATGTTGAAATTTTGCAGGCAAAATACTTGGCGGAAGCTGTTGGAGCCGGAATGGGAGGTTCTTTGCAAGGATTTGTTAAGAGAGTTTTTCAGGGGTGAATGCTGAGATAACTTGCAAGCATCAATCAATTTTATGGTTTCCCAGACCATGTTAGCTTTCTTTTAGCTGAATTTACAAAATTTACGTTCTTGAATTATATTTCGGCCTGTAAATAACGGGAATGCGATCATATCTTGGGAATAGAACGATGAAATAAAATTGGTTCTTTGAAATAATGTTCCCGCAAATTCTGAAGTAAGAGCACTTGTTCTATTAACGCAAGCGAGCGCAACCATATATCTTAAACGTGTCGTTTTTAAGAAGATAGAGAAAACGACACAAAATTCTGAAAGGTGGACGTGAAACGACCAAAATTAAGTCCGAATCATTTTTGAATGACATGTGCTAAAAATATAGAAAAAGATGACAAGTAGAAGACAAACATTTCTTAAATAGTTTCTCAAAAACGTTTGGTCACTTTGGTCAGTTTTAAATTTTTTGAAATCGCTAATTAAATTAATGTTCCAAGTTAAAGAAAACTTTTAAACCAACTAAGTAAAGTAATTAAAAATAAAAATTAATTAACTTCATTTGTTTTTATTTGATTTGGTTTGGTGTGTCCTTTTTTTTTTTCTTTCAACGGCCCTTAGAAATGGACAATAACATGACAATTGACACAAGCATGTTTCTCGAGTACTTGTATATACAAAAATAAAAAGAAAGAAAAAAATACACACACCTGACACCATATGTTTCTCAGGCACAACTTAGAAAAAGAGAAAAGAAAAAAGAATTTTTGTCATAGCAATTGTGTTTCTTTCTCCATTAAAAGTTGTAATGTTAATTTTTGGATTTCCCTTTTTTTTTTAAGGACATAATCTATTTATTGTCCACATTAAAACATCTGCAGCTCACATTGTTTGGAATTATTCTTATTTTTATTTTTTACGTTTTTTAAAAATAAAAATGAGAATGATTTTAAAATGGCATTTAACACAATTAAAAATAAAAAAATAAAAATAATTTTTTAATTTAATATAAAATAAAAAAAAATAAAAGATGATTTGTAGTCGATTTTAATTTTTTATTTTTATTTTCTTCTCTCTCAAAAAAAAACAATAATAAATTTTTTATACTAAAAATAATGTATTAATAAAATTAATAAATATATTTTTAAAAATAATTTTTTTTAACATAAAAATTTTTTATTTTTATTTTTATATAAAAAATAAAATTATTTTAAAATGAATTTCAATTGCTCACGTTTAACACCTACAACGCCCTTAAACCAAAAAAAAAAAAAAAACGTTCTTTTTTTGGTAGAACAGCGAGAACAGCTAAAACGTGCTTACCAACAACGTTTCTACCGTAGAAATTCTTGTATTTATTTTTTCAAGACTTGACCATTGACCTAAAAAGACGCGAAGAAGACAAAAGAAAACAGAACAAAAAACGAAAGGGAAGGGAAGCTCTGTTGGAAGTAGGTGGGTAGTAGCCAAGAATCGTGCGCAAAAAATGGCGAGTGCTCCAGAGATCGTGGCGAAACTGAATCTGATTCCTCATCCAGAAGGCGGATTCTACGCCGAAACTTTCAGAGACTCTTCTGTTTCTCTCTCTACGTCTCAGCTCCCTCCCCAATGTCAGTTTCTCCTTTTTCCTTATTCCCTGATCTTCTCCATTTTTATCCTTTTGCTTTTACTTTCATCATTTTCACATCTTCTTCAGTTGAATTTCCATCATAGACTTGTTTCGGATGCTACGAAAACTGCGAAATCGATGAGATTCGAAATTGAGGCGTAATTCTTACTTATGGATGAGAATTTGGTTATCGTTACATCTCATGGAAGATGGATTTGGTCATTTTCATGTTCTTTTAAACCATTTGAATAAATTATAGTTGTTATTGAGCTCAAATCTTGTGAATAGAAGTGCTCTAATTTAGTTGAACGATATAAATACGTTTACTTGATTGAATTTTGTTTGTGAATTAGTATTTGGTTTGCTAAATAATTGTTAGTTTAATCTGCAGACAAGGTTGACCGAGCTGTGAGCTCATGCATTTACTTCTTGTTGCCATCTGGGTATGTTTCACGCCTTCATCGCATTCCCTGTGCAGAAACCTGGCATTTTTACTTGGGAGAACCTATTACGGTATTTATACAGTTTGGATATTGAGATGTAGATATTTTTTCATGAACTTCAGAGAACCCTTTATTTTCAATCATTTTAGCAGCGAATTACTGTAGGACCTGTTCTTTATAACTATCGGCAGTTACTGTTGTTTTTCCTGTTATTCGCGCTAAAAATTTACAACACCTACATAGAATTGTTCCAATCACAAAATCAGGCCGTTGAAAACATAATCCAATTGCTGAAACAGCAGCTTCTAATAAAAAAAAAAGGTTTAATTGACAGAAACCATAAATACTATCAAAACGTTTAGAAGATAATCTTTGTTCTTCCATTCCTCTCTATTTGCTTTCAGGTAGTGGAGTTGAATGAAGAAGATGGTAAGGTCAAACTGACCTGCCTTGGACCCGATTTGGTTGGAGATAATCAGCAACCACAGTACACAGTCCCTCCAAATGTATGGTTTGGTGCATTTCCAACCAATGACCTAAGAATTTTTGCTGATGGGACACTGCTGAAAGCTGCTCCACGGGATGGCGAGAGGCACTACTCTCTCGTGGGATGCACCTGCGCACCGGCCTTTCAGTTTGAGGACTTTGAGCTTGCAAAGCGCTCTGATCTTGTTTCGCGGTTTCCCAATAGTGAGGCTCTTATATCTATGCTTACCTTCCCTGATTGAGCAGAACTTGTCTTTATGAAATCACAAGTTAAAAATGATGTCTAATGTTGGGTCTTGCTATGTTTCTTCACATTTTCCCGTATTTTTTCCATTATGATACCAGTTTGTGATGACTATATTCACTGTGCACATTGTCTTATTAAGACACTTGATATGTAAGAGATATGTAAGATTAACTATTCATTGGGGTTAAGAGAGGCCTGCCTGTGCAAGTTGCAAATTGGAATAACTCAAGCAAACTTCATTAGTTCTTAGGAATTACATTCATGATCTGTGGGCTTTTTTTTTTTTTTTT